TAAGCATGTATGTGCTGTTACAGTAGGACAGATCGGTGGTAATTCTGTTACTGCTATTAAATTCTCTAGAGAGATTTACATGTATTACATGAAGTAGATAAAACCAAACTGTGCAAAAACGTCTGACATTTTATCAGCATTTCCACGTATAGCTATATAATAGATAAACTTTAGATTGCATTTCAGAGTCTCATTGGTCTCAATGAACGCATTGAGTTCATAAAGAACACCATTCATCAGTTTCTGGCCTACAGGTCAGACTTCACAGAATCTGCTTCATTTTACACCAGTAAACACAGACTTGATTCTCCATCGAAGTCAAACCTGTGACATTTAGACTCGCTGCCATTTCTTTAATTGAATGTAACTTACCTGAACACAAGGCCACGGACTCAAACCGCAGAGAGTTTGATCTGATGTCCTCAGTGAAAAATGGTCTAAAAACAATCTCATCTTGCAGCAATCAAACAGCAGCATACTGAAAGCACTGCCCTTTATTGCACACATTACAAAGCTCCTTTTAAATCATTTATTTTTGCCATGAATAACAGGTTCTCATTGCACAACTTTTTCATTTCCATACACAAAAACTACATGAAGACTTATTTCAAATAAATGTATTAATATATACAATATATTATATAATATGTGTGTGTGTGTGTGTGTATATATATATATATATAATGTATATTTGTATATAAAATATATTAATTATTAATATATAAATTAGTATATAAAATATATATATATATTAATATATATAAACTTGAAATCTTTGCACAAACCTGTTTTGTGGGGCATATTCGCAACAAGGTCTCTTTAAAAGCAAAAGGAAGCACTCTTGCTCTTAAGCTTTTTATTTGAGAAACGTGCTACAGCACTCCACACAGAAACTACTGGACCAAATGCTTTTACAAACCACAAACAATCAATGAATTATCAAAATAATTATTTAATGACTTTAATGCTGGTGATTGTGACCTGTGAGGAAACCTTCCCTGAGGACATTTTTGCTTGTGAAACCTTCCCTTTATTAATATAATATTAAGGCTTTGTTCATTGCTCTTCAAAATGAAGATGAATACAACTTCAGGCAGTCAACATATAATGCATGTTTTCCATTCTGAAGCTTCACTCAGTGGGATAAAAGTGGTCAAAAAAAACAAACACTTTTTATTTGTGCAGTTGCAATGCATTTCAAATTAGTTAAAAATTTAGGATTAGGACAACAACAACAACAGCAACAAAAAAATCACATGAATACATAGTGTGCTTGGGTTGTTTACAAAACATTTCCCCACAGAAAATATTGAATAAATAAAAAGAAAAACAAATTTCACTTATCCTAAATATTTCTACAGTGAGGACACTGCCTTTAGTCTCCAAAGCAACAACACTCAAGCAGTTCCTACAAGGGCGGACTAGTTTGTTAGTACTTTCGTTCACTTAAATGCTCTGAACGCAAACAGCCAGCAGCCCTTGCAGACACCTCATCTCACCGCTGCCTCGGCAGGTCAAACGACCTTCAAAAAACTCCACATGACCCCTTACATATGAAGTCTGATGGCTGAATGACGGAGCAGAGCTGAAATCAGATGCTCTAGAGAAGTTTGGGCAGGATGGACATTCATTTGCACTGATGAGTCAGGCTAAAACAAAATACCATCAAAGGTGGCAGTAAATGCATCGATTCCTGAGGCTCACCAGGACTTTAAAAAGAAAGAGCACTATTTAGAGCCTATTCAAAGACAAAACAATCCCAAATTGGACTAAATATTTCCAATCATCGGCTTTTGTAACAGAAAAAGTTGTGTTTTGACTCTAGAGATCTAACTCCCAATTACATCCAGTTCTAGAGAAAGCAGCGGTTTTTCCAAACAAAACAAAAAGGAAACACCAGTAGCACCATTAAACTGCGTGAACAGTGAGGCAGACAAAGCATGGCAGCACACGCTTGGGAAGATTTCTACAGCGACAAAGATGAAAGTGCAGGAGCGGAGTGAAGGACGGACTGCCTCGTGCATTTACCTGTTAGACTGCGTGGAAGTGTGTGTGTGTGAGAACTGTAAATGTGTATGGACCTCGGAAAAATGCATCTGTTTGAATGTGTGTGTGTGTGTGTGTGTGTAAAACTGTGAGGGTGTTCACACACCAGATTTAATCGTGTTAGTCCGTGAACCAGACCAAGGTAGTAATTCATTAAACTGGTTAAAAAAAAAACACAACACAAAATATCAGCAAAGTTAGTAAAATTCTTACTAAGAATGTTTATTAAAATAAATGCCAAGGAGGTTAATAAGAAAAAAATAACAGCATACACCATAAAAACTAAATGCAAGCATGTAAAAATACCTATGACAAGAGGAACTAATAAGTCGCTAATGAGTTAAACAAGCTAAAGAATCGGCAAGAAAACAAAATAACTGTAGGAAAAGGCAATGCTCCCAATGAGAGACAGATCTGAGTAAAGAGTGGGCTGAGAGGGAGGGCAGAGGAGGAGAGAGGACATGGAGGAAAAAAAAAAGGTGTAGTGGGTTTCATCACAAAAAAAGACTTGTACATAGAAAATGAAGTTAGAAAAATACATTAGAAACCTGTAACAATGGCTGTAATTTACATTATTACACATGTAGTAGGCAGGCGGAAGAGAACACAAGAGTTTTCTCCATACACCTGATAGACTAAACCCAACTCCAAAACATTAACAGCATGTACTGTAGTAACGTGGCAGAGGGGATTCCTTTAATACTGTCCATTTCTCTGTAGTCGACTTTGCTCCTCTCTAATATTGCATTTCATTATTTCAATGTTTAAAAACATGTATTTAACACTGAGAAGAGAGAAAAAAAGACATTGACCTTTTTGTGTAACACAAGTGAAGAACAAGACTACATTAGAGACTGCCAGGGTTACAGGACACAAAGTTGAATGTAGTCTTACTGAATGCTATGAACACCTCCGGTTGTTTCGATGATTGAAAACTGCTGATCTTGATACTGTGGCTCTTCTGTGATTGTTCGGGTTTGGCACTGATGAATTGTGTGACCAGTGACCTTCCTCTCAGTAATACTTTGAGTAAATGCGATATTATCCCTCTCCAAGCATTATTTGCTCTTTTCAGATCAGTGCACTGTAAAGCTACATCTATCCTTTGTGAAACACCAAAAAGGCTGAATACTTTCCCCCCTCATCCCTTATTTCCTCTGGTCTTTTAAAACAAAAAGCAAAAACACTTCCTTGGCATAAAATAAAGTATGTTTTGGCAAATATGATCGAAAGCTTCCAGTTTGCACATCTTGAAACAAGAGGAGGTTTCAGGAAAAGTCCAATTCATTGAGAGATCTCCCTTCTAAAACACCTGGCAGACTTCCACATAATGATTGGCAGTTGTTCTTGACAAAAATCACAGTAACCAAATACATAGACAGCATTGCCGATTTTGTCCTCATAATATAAGAATAACAATGCAATAAAATAAAGAGAAATAAACACTTTGTTCAAATGGGGATTAAAGGAAAAAACAACAAAACAAGACTTCAACTTAATTTTGGGAAGACTAATCATGGCACATAGTTAGCTTGTCAAATGACTGCTATTCCTTTGCATAGAATAGATTCAGTGGCACAACACTGCAACAGCCTCGTGGTTTAACTCTTGGGGTGCTTCCTCTTCACAAGCCCTCCCTCACTCTGCGCTACCCTTGTTGGTGCTGGATATTATTGAACAGAATGTAACACTCGGAAAAGAAACGACCGTCAGTAAGGCACTTATCTCTCTAACTGTACTCTTCTCTTCTCACGTCATGCAGTTCCTCCAAAAGGTTTGACTATTTTGGTCTGTTTTTTCCCCGCTGGCCAATAGTATCCAAAGTCACGCAACCTTTCTTTACCACCTTTCGCTGTACTATTCTACAAATGTTTATATATATATATTTTTTTGTATTACGTTTCATATTTTGTAACTGCAAGTTAAGTATAAAAAGCTAAAATTGCCAAAAATATATATTTCTTCTCCAGCACCCTGTAAAAGTATCTAATTTTGATCTTTCTGTATTTTAATATGCAATGACATATCTACATTTGTATACATTTTATATATATCATGTATGTATAAAGCAATTCGAACAGGCAGACATGGCTTTCACATCCTATGTTTTCTTAAGAGGGTGTATAGAAATGAGAGTGGGCTCAGTAGCTGGGGGTGTGCAGGACACATTGTGGATGGGCTATTTGAAACGATTCGAAATTACTCACAGTTGCTTCCAACACGTGAATTTCAATTCATGAAGGCAAGAACACCTGCATTTAATTTCAGCTCAGTTGAATTAATTTTTGGAAGGTGGGACGGGGGAGAGAAACTCAAACAGAATAAAATTTGAAAAATTAAATTTTTTTTTTTTGATAAATCAACGGAAACCAAAAGAAAATGTGTACATACAGTAACAGCAGTGAGGTTAAACCCTCCCCCGTTCGGTCTACCTCATTCATCTTCCTTAGTGTTCATTGCTTTTGTACATCCTCAAGGAAATTAGCGTCTTGTGGGACAATTCATCACCATTTCATCCATCTTTTGATTTGCCATTATAACAAACAGATAAAGGCATGACATCAAACCTTTTCAAACTCTAGACTAAAATGACAGAACCCTTGGCGGTTAGATACATGGAAACATAAGAAACAAAATAGGGAGAAGTAACAGAACAAAAAAATCAAAACAAGCTTTTTGCAGTCTGTCATTGTAGCCATGCTCTAAGTCAATTGGACAGGCACACCCAGAATGTGTCAGCACAGTAAAACTCAACTGAAAAACACAGGATTACATCAGAGAAGGACAGGAAATACACAAGTTGGTGTGAGTGCAGAGTTCTTTCCTTCTTTTTCTTTTGCTGATTATTCATGGTGACAGTTTAAATGGGTGGGGTAGCGTATAGAGATTATTTGGATGCCCCGTTTAGCGTTATGACTGATAAAACTAGGGTCACCAAGTTGTATTTTTTTTCTTTTTTTCTCATTTTTTTTAAATATTGGAGCTTTGAGTATAAATTCATTTAAGGGCTGAATTAGCAAAAGATGCTTCTTTATTGCTTTTAAACTTTAGTGCAGATTTTCGGGTAACACAATATCACTGTTAACATCCACCCAGTCATTTGAGATTTTAAAAGAAAAAGAAAGAAATAATAGTAAAAACAAAAACAAAATAATAAAGTATCATCGTTGTTATCGCTACACAATGTGTGTTGGTATGGAGGGTTGTTGTGTTTTATGTTGGTTTATGTTAGGATCACTGCTCGGACAGGTGCCTCTCTCTCTGCGTCCACCAGGCTAGCAAAAGGCAATTACCAGTTAATCTGATCAGCAGGCAGGCTTGGGCGGCTCATCATTGGGTGAAGAGTTCAGAGGTCATTTGTTAGTTGCCGGTGGCGGCTAGGTGGTTAGGAACAAAAAGGAAAA